TAGCGTTAACATGATCAACTTGGGCTCGAATTTCACCCAATAAACTAACCAAACGCACTTTTCTTCAGACAATGTTTGTTCAACAAATGGTAAAAATTTAGCCATTTCACATCAGTTGAGTATCTTTGTACAGACTGTTTTATCGCTATAAAATATAATAAGAAATGTAGGTTGGAAATTAGACAAATAAAAGTCCATCTCGGTGACACTAAGTCTTACATTTTCATCTTTGGAAAGATTAGTTGTTTTACAAATTACAGTGTATCACTTTTATTTTCCCATGCTTTATTTGTCAGTTTAGGTTGCTGCAAAAAAGGAGTTAATGATCACATCCTTCCTATAAAATATAGATCCCTTTATCAAGAACTAAATAGTGGTATCCAAAGAGAGATCCTTTAATGCCCTTGACTCATTTCATACCCAATATATTCCGCCATCTTAGAAATGGTACCCCGTGAGAAAGATATTCGCAACAATAGAGAGTAAACATTAAGACTTTCCAGGAGATATTTTTGTCCCGGATGATACAAACCCATGGCCTTTTAAGCCACATAAAATAAAACGAAGGTTAGAAAAAATATCAGATTTCTAGTTCTAGTTTGTAACTAGGGTGACAAAGTTGGTATCAATTAAATTTTGAAAGAAAGAAGCAGGATGTTCCTTAAATGTCTAACAAGAAAATAAAAATCAATATGGCTTTTTATAAAAAATAAAAACTAGAGTAGAAAAAAATGATGATGACGTAGTATATCAAAGGGGTTTGACGTTAACGTTCCATTTTGTATTGAAATACCAGGAAATGTAGTTGTTTGTAAAGATGTTCGAGAAAATGGTATAAAATACCAAAATCAGCCTGATAGGAGTTAGATATGATGTGTAGTTGTTTTGAGAGAAGAGACAATACCCTTACACGTCAGCAATTAAGTTCAGCAGGTTTTATTTAACAAGATGTTTGAAGCTTTTAAATAATTTAAAAGCATTTGTGATGTTGACATTTTCCTAGAGCAAATGTATTTATTTTGTCGGCAAGAATGCAAACAGAGAGTGGGGTATGAAGTAACTGAGTGAGAGTGGTTGAGTTGGTGCATTCTATTCACAAGTACTTTCCATACAGCATCCATTATAAAATGTAGCAATTAAAATACTACAACAATCAAAACATACTCTCATACTCTGGTTCTAGCTTTTTAAATAAAGTGTCACTTTCCCTCCTTGACTCCGAAAAATCGTTTGTCAGTATTTTTCTTTTAACGTTATTAAGAATTCAAGAGTACGAAAAATGCCATATTAGGTAAAGTTGCTTTCATGTAATTCTGAAGGTTATTGTCTTATAAGGTCTTAGAAATGACGTGCTTATATTCTCTAAAGTTACACCAAAGTAAACGAGTTGTGCATAATATTTTGTTTGAGGACTCGACAGCGGGGTATAGCAAAGAGCCTAAATACACAACCAGCTGCATTGTTAGCACAGTTTATAAATATTTTAATATTGTCACAACCCATCTCTGCCGAGTAAAACAAACAAAGCTAATTAGATGCATTTAGAATTGTTTGCATAGCACAACCTATTGTGGCTAGTAGACCCGAGCCAGAACCAGCGGTTAACCTACTACTCACACTATGTGTACAAGTGAGAATATGCTTCGTGGTCACGTCTATAAATGTGCTTTCTTTCTTAACCTTTTTTGAGAATCCATAATTTGGAATTGTCACTAAATGTGAATGTTTACTTCATTATTTGTTCATTCATTTCATTCTTACTTTTTCATTCTTTTCGTTCTTTTTTCAAATCTATTTTACATTTCTTCACAAGGCCAATTAAATATTGTGAGAAGTTAGACGATTCTTCAAGATGTCATCATTGAGAGGTAGGAACAACTGACTTAGCGAATTTCTTATGACCTGATATATATTTCGTTTCTAACTATATCTCACTTTTGGTGTTTCCCTTTGGCAAGAGGCAAGAAGCAGTGAATTATTGATAAGGCAGATTAACAATGAAGAAAATTATCAATGAACAAAAAGTTCATATTTTCTATAGAAATTAATTAAATCTAATAGTACATTCAAATATATGTGGAATAAGAGCTATGAGTCACCTGAATGTACGTTGATTTTGGCACAGAACCCACTATTTTCTAACTACTTACTCAAGTTCAAATTGCAAATAATTATATGGAATTAAAATTTAATAATACCATAATGTTTAAAATCAATTAAAAATGTTTAAATAAACTTTATTGTAAAGTGTATTCAACCTACAATGAGCAAAATATGTTTTTGAAATTGTTACAGTTGTAGATCTATTGTTAAAATTGCAAATGCTAAAAACAGTTTTACATTAAAATAAAAGCCTTTGTTATTCTGTCAACCTTATGTCAGTGCTACAAATGCATTTTAAATTAAATATAAATATGAAATATGCAGACACCTACAGTTAATGTTTTTATTTTACCACATGCTGTAATGCAACATTCACTGGATATTTCATTTGATATCAAATAATTCAGATCTCTTCAATATAAACATTCAGTTTGAGATGTCAGTGCTAGTTACTTAATCATAAAATATCACTTTGCATTTAATCATACTATTATTCATTGAAAACCTCTAAAATACCTCATTTTTAGCATTTCTATAACACTTCATATATACATTTAATCCGTTCCTCATTATTTTATTTTTTCACATTTTTGTAAGATAAAATTGACAACATGAGTTATTGATCATAGTTTGTTACATGAAATGCAATAGAATCCTAGTCTAACATTTAAACAAGATGACGGAATCAAACTTTAGCCTTTCCTTTTGTATCCTCATTAAGTAAAGCATTGCAAGATCAAATAATAATTTAAACACTGCAAATATTTTACAAACATATGTTTTAATGATTTTATTACGGAATTGTCCATTGAAAAAAAACAAAATCAATTCTGAGTTTTCAACCACATGTTTGAAGCACCTGTGCAAAAATGGAAATCAATTTTTCCGTTTAAATGCCTCAAAAAGTTCTTATTTCACCCAGGTTCATGAACAATCTTCTTAGCATAGATAAGTTGATAATAATCAAAAACATTTAGAACATTTTTAAAACAACAACCATAGGATTGGAAAATATAATAATGGGATTATATTTTGGATCATATTGTTACTGCTTTGTTTGGTGTTTCATTAATCATTTAATTAAACCATATATGACTGGTTTTGTTTTTTTTAATTTCGAGCTCATTGAAATTGAACTAATGCATGTCAGGCATGTAAATAATGTAAGAGATAAAACAAACAAATAAGGAAAATTAATTGAACATTCGGTTATTTAAATAACATATCGGACAGGTCAGTTTTATACAAAAACAACTTGATTTTGCTTGATTATATTATTTAGACTTCAGCCTGAGTATTCATTATTCCTTGATAATTCCACTCTATATCATGTCCAATAATTTCTTCAAATGTCCTATTTTAGACCTACATATAATACACCTATTCATGACTTGTGAAACTTCTTATGTTATAATTTGAGTTTATTTATCATTTACAGATTTAACTAATCAAAACTGAAGTGTTTGTCATTGTACTTGACTAGTGTCAGTTTCTACAGTTTCAAATAATAAGCGAGAATTAATAAATGAGTCAACTTTTAATTTAAGGTATGATATAATTGCTATAATATGATAAAGTAAACAGATGTATTAAACCATCTTAACTACTTATCGAAAAAATCATATCAATATGCATTTTATGAATGGTTAAGTACGATAGATATTCATTGATGATAGTAAAATATTGACCCATAAGACCAATGCCCCACCCCCTTATCTGGGTGTACGTTGATTATTCAATATTACATCGCTCTTACTTCATATCCTGAAATCTATGGAAAAGCAGATTTATTTTTAGAGAGCGAACAGGCATATATAGTCTCTTTAAATACCCCAAAGCTGTTTCAACAATATAAATTATACAACAAAAATAAATAATTTAATAAAATCAAATGTCAAGAGTTACAGGCACATTAGAATAGACACGCTAGTCTTTTCTACTGGATTCAATATGAATTTAAATCCCCACAATGTGATAAAACAGAAATAGACTGAGTTTACGGACTGACTTATGGCTGAATCTAGAGAGAGGTTAGACCATTACTATAAATTGGGACTGTTATGATGGCTCTGATTTCTGATTGGGGTGAATAGGAGTAGTGTATGTTAAGGAGGCACGGGATTACTTTGCGGTGTCTAAAAATGCGATGCCAGGAATGAGATACTGAGACTTCTTTGCGGTGCCTAAAGTGAGATACCAGGAATGAGATGCCAGGGGTTAATAACATTTTTACTAATGATGAGATGCTTGCTTTTGTAGTAACCATAGTGATAACCTGAGGTTTGTGGTAGCTTCAATTTGAGACGCATAACGGTATCCTTATTTAATTGAAATGCTTTGTAGAGAGTCTTAACATTGAGATATCTCTGAGATACCTTTGTGAAACCTTAAAGCAGGGATAAGTCAGGGAGTCTTAAAACTGCGACGACATATTAAGAACTCATACAATTATTGAAATGAAACCTTAAAAACTGAGTTGGTTTGAGAGACTTTTCGGTGATATCTTAAAATTTAGGTACTTTCAAGATATCTTTGTATTATATCAAATACGATAAGACATTGGAAGGGTAAGTACATTATCAATCATTACATAATCATCCTTGCAAGACCTCAAGTTGTTGCTTCATTGAGATGCACTATGCATCCATGAACATTCAGCTTGTGTTCATGAAATACTTTGTGAAACACCTTTGTGCCACCTTAAAACTGAGCTTTTCAAAGCTTTAGACTTCGAGATACCTTTGTGGAACTTAACTTTTGGCTGGTTGGGAAAATTCTTAACTGTAATGACATTGAGTTGCTTTGCGATTCCTAAAATATGATAACTACTGAGGGTTGGTGAGCTAACATTATCACACTTCGATAAGATATAAAGAAACCATCCATCTGCGGGATGACAACACATGTTGCATCACATCTTGATAAGTCTCATATATAGACTCTGAACTTTACTAATTTGTAATGTTCAACAATTGCAGTACAAAATGTCATCTCCAGCAATAATTGAAACAGTGTGGAATGCAACGACAAAATGCATCATCATTGAGGATGTTAATTCGGTGAGTGCCTCTCCCGAACTAACGCCGAATAGCGACACAAAAAACATAAGATCAACACCACCACCACCACCATTCAAGAAACGCATGGTTAGCTTTCAGAGAGAGTTGACACTAGATATACCTGCTCAACCTAGCTGTCGGAGAGACTTGAAGCTTAATATACCCCCTCATCCAATGACGCTAGATGGTGTAGTACACTTTCATCTGACTTTGGAAGATGCAGCGCGTCCATCTGGATGTATCGTCAATCCGATTCAACCTGAATGGCCACAAATGCTCAAGATTTCGAACGGGTCCTGCTTGCAGGAAATATTCATATACACGCAGGGAGATCACGTTGTAATTCGAACATTTAAACTTAAACTTATCGTTGTGAACAAGGTGAAGCGGGTAGGCTGTATGCCTTACAGCTCGAAGTTTGCACGACTACCTCGACAGGAGTTTGACTACATGATCACCTGCTGCACAGAAAGAGGAATTCGGGAGTATATGCGTGCCATTCAAGATGATTTGGCCGTTCCAAACCAGGCACTGGCTACACCTTTGAATGCACAGCATCACCTAGGACTGGGATACGAGTTCAAAGTGCATTCTGATATAAACCTTTTCGAAGTAACATCGACTTACCACGACCGGGTAAAACAAAAATTTACCCAACTTTGGTCAGTGTACCTCAATTTCGAGGAGATGGAGGATGTATTGAAAAACATACACAGTCTTATTCCTCCCTTAGCTATAGAGGACATGAATTGTATAGCCACGTTACATGGTGATCATATGAACCAGGAGGGTATGTGGGCTTGTAACGTGTGCCAATATCTCTCTCCATGTGATAACCTGCTTGACAATTAGATACACTTTTTATCTTTAAATTGTGTTGTACTAGCTAAAGCATTCATTGCAGGCAACATAATTACATCAATGGGAAATCACACAAAACATTTCTCTGTCTATTGTTATTTTGTATTCAATTTTTAATAAATGATTCAATTATTATCCCATCGAACGAAGTTCGGAGGGATATAGGGAACGCCTCCGTCCGTCCGTCCGTCCATACATCCTTCCATACGTCAGTCCGTCCGTCTGTCCGTCCGTCCGGGTGATAACTCAAATACCGTTGGCCCGATTTTGTTCACATTTTGTACAAATATGCCCTATGGCGATAGAAGTTCTACTCGAAAGCCGATTTTCAAAATGGCCACTCGTTTCAAAATGGCGGCCATTTCAATGCCGATTTTACAGTAATTTAGGTACAATATATAAAACTGTAATAGCAATGTGTTTTAAATGTAAAGAAGTTATAAAGGACATAATAAAGCTAGAAATGTAGATATTTAAGAAACACACGGCAGCCAACTTGTAAAATGGCGGCCCTTACACGCTATTTACGATTTTTGCTGTAACTTGAAAAGTAGTGGAGCGATTGTGTTCATATTTGATATTTGAATACTCATAAGCATGGCACACTGTCTAATGATACTTTGGGTAGTAGGTGGCCATTTTACGTGTGTTATTTTACGTTTTTTCCCCATAACTTGAAAAGTAGTGGAGCGATTTTGTTCATATTTGATATGCGAATACTATATTGCATGGCACCCTGTCTATTGACACTTTGGTTTTTGGCCACCATTTTTACGTGTTTTATTTTAAGTTTTTTACTATAACACGAAAAGTAATAGAGTAATTTTGTTCATATTTGATATGTAAATACTCATGAGCCTGGCACACTGTCTCATGACATTTTGGGTAGTAAGCGGTCATTTTGAGAAATGGCTGCCATTTTTACGTGTGTTATTTTACGTTTTTACTTTAACTGAAAAGTAGTGGAGCGATTTTGTTCATATTTGATATGTGAATACTCATAAGCATGGCACAATATCTTATGACACTTCGGCTAATAGGAGGCAATTTTTCAAAATGGCTGCCATTTACATGTACATGCGTGCGATTTTGTTGAAATTTTATATGTGCCTTTCTAGAAGCAATTGTCCTTTTGACAATTTGGCAACTTAGCGAGCATTTTGAAAATGGTAGCCATTTTTATGTGTGTTTATGTACGATTCTTGCTATAACTGAAAAAGTAGTAGAAGGATTTTGTAAAAATGGCAGCCATGGCTGTTCGATGGGATTCGCTACGCTTTGGCGTTGCTGTTGTCTAGTTGCAATATAATATCAATACAACGTTAAATTAAACTGTTCTATAATATTTACATCTGTTTGATAAGTTCTACCTACACAATTGTATTTTAAATATAATTACAACATATTGTACACATACTCTCATATATGAGAATCGTGTAGTTTGGAAATTAATAAAAGTTGTTCCTTGATACAACATAGAATAATTTGTTTATTTTACTACTCAATAAGAAACGATGCATTGGTGAGACTTTCATCTTAGATGGATAAGAAATGAATTGAATAAGAAAGGATGCACATATTATGATCTCTGTGTTTTCGTAGAGTGATGGTGATCACATTTTTTTGAAGCACGAGGTTTCTTTTGTAACATAAATAACAAAACAATGACATAACACTTTGTTTTATAATGTACATTTACTCTTATATTTATGTCATAAGTTTCTTTACATGTTAAATGCTGGTCATATCAGTACTATTACTTTCGGAATTGCTTTCATCATTATAATAAGATTGCTCTTCATCAGTAGATTCTTCATCAGAATTGCTTTCATCATTATTATAAGATTGCTCTTCATCAGTAGATTCATCAGAATTGCTTTCATCATTATTATAAGATTGCTCTTCATCATCAGTAGATTTTGCTTCAGAATTGCTTTCATCATCATCTGTATCTTCTATGAATAGCTCATTAAACTTATGTTCATTATTCACAAGTGCCTTTTTGATTGCAAGATCTCTAGAGACACCTCTCATCAACATATCATTCACTGCATCTACAATATTTCTGTGTAATGCATTGTCTGCTAAACCGAAAACTTGTTTTAAGACCTTCTTATAGTGCTTCATAAATCTTTCCTTATCATTTCGTACAAGTTTCTTCTCAGCCTTTTCCATAGCTTCCTTTTCATTGTTTCCCCTATCCATATACTCCTTTACTTTATGATTATAATCTTTTTCATTATCACTTCTAGCCTTGTTTTTTAAATATACAAATATTTCATTTAATGTAAGATCAGCATCTTCTTCACGGGAAGAATCTTGTCCTATTTGTGAGGTGGTTTCAATCTTCATTTTCTTGGGCAGTTGACCTTGCTCTTGGCACCAATTCCTGATGTGACCTTGCAAATCGTGTACGCTGTCAAAGACTAAACCACAGTTATCACATGATACCATATTGTTACATCCGCCAGAGATTAAATGAGGAGACAAACAAGGAGAAGGTCCAGTTTTTATATCATGCATTCTTGTATCCTTTTCATGCGTTTGAGGTGTTTCTGGTAGCTCATGGTGAAGTACATTTGCATTACTTTCACGCTGTTGCGATTGATTTGATTCATCCTGATTTTGTTTTGCTAATGGCTTTTGCAGCATTATATTTGTAGTTGTGGTAGGATTATACAATCTCATACTCTCAGGAGTTTCTTGCTTGAGGTCTACTAACAGGTAGCTGTAAGGTTGGTGTGTAGCCTTCTCATATGAATCCAATAACTTGTGAGACTTTCCAGGGTACATCTGATGGGCCAAAACAGATACTTGTTGACGATCCCTAGGATTCTTATACAGCACAATGTAGTGGGAATTCAAACTGAGAGTGCGACTTTCTCTTCCACATGGAAACAGATTCTGCATCAAGCAAATCACACTTAGATTTCTGTGATGTGATCCACGCGTGTACAAATCAGTAATCCTTGTATCCTTTGTTATGTCACCCATTAAGTCGTCAAAGATCAGTATGTTCCTCTGATTCACATCCAAAAACTCTGGGTTACTCAGCTCGTCTGGTATCCCCATCATAAATTCAATATTTGAGCTGATTGTCTTGATGTCATCATATAGAGGTTGCCATTGACTGTAACACCATATGATTCTTTGTGGTGTTGGAGATATTCTAGTACCAGCATGCTCAATCAGTTCCTTTACATATGTAGATTTCCCTGAACCTGTCGGGCCAACCACCATCATTGTGAATGGATGGTAGAGCACCTTTGAAATATCTCCTGTTGACATCATAACCTGATTTGTCGAAGAATAAGATCCCATTCCATACTGTCCTTTAGATATATGATCGTTTTTAGTTAGCTTACAGCCATGTACAATCTTCATGTGACGAATCGTATTGTCTTTGCGAGAAAACTGCTTCGAACATTCTCTACAGCTAAACATGGTGTTTGTCTTTTAAGAGTTTTGTTTAAATGAAGATGTCAACTAATCACTAATGAACTTATATCTGAATCTACTTTTTAGTAGCCTAGTACAGAGACATAACACGATTATTTGATGTAGGTGAGATTAGGAAGAGAAGGGAATGAGAAGGAGAGGAGTAGATGAGGAGGAGAAGGGAATGAGGAGGAGAAGGGAATGAGGAGTAAAGGAAACAAGGATGAGAGAATGAGAGGAGGGGGAAAAGAATGGAGTGAGGTGGAAGAGGGAATGAGGATGATGAGGAGGGAGTGAGGAGGGGGAGGGGGGAATGAGGAAAAGGAGAGAATGAGGGAGGGGAAGAGCATGAGGGAATGAGGTTGGGGAGGGAATGGGAATGGGGAGGAGGATGAGGGATTTAGGAGGAGGAGTGGTGAGGAGGGAATGAGGAGGAGAGAATGAGAGGATGGGAGGGCACTTATGTTATGCTGGCCTGTAAACGAGCTTTTAGTTAATGCACTTAATGCTACTCAAGCTGGTCTTATCAGCTAGTGAGTGACGTCATGCTAGGATTTCCCACCATATGGCCTAATGCTTACACAGAAACTCTTTGGTATCTAAAATGTGTGATCATCTTAAAAATAGTATTACAGCTTGTAATTAATACTGAGTTGGGTCTTGAAATTAACACTTTGTGAAAGTACTACCCCTTCCTCTAATGTTTCCAGGGTTTCTCTTAATTTGAGTGAAAGTTTATCAGATTAAAGCACCTTGATGAGAGGCTGGTTAGTTAATAAATGTATTCTCTCTGAACATTCTGGCAACTTGAACATTAAATCTCTCAAAATTGCAGGAAGGGATCAACTTGATTCAAAAATGTTCATTTAGAGAATTGTCTTGCCTATGCAGGGTTGAAAGAATTGTTTTGATCCCTTCCTGCAAACGCCCCCCAGACATATTTTACTAAGACCACCCCCAAAATTGGGAAACCCTAATCCTAGTAACATCTCACAAGCAAGTGGCTGTCTTATAATAGCAACCAAATGCCAGCAATGTTAAAAAGGTCAAGTTACACATTAGCGCTTTAGTGGTAGTCAGCTATGCAGGCTTTGTTTACATTCTGCAGCAGCTGATAGCAGGTCACCAGCTTTTCCTAAACTAAAAGATCACTGCCTAACATAAGTGAGGGAATGAGGAGAGGAGGAGGGAATGAGTAGTAGAGAATGATATTGTATGCTGTGATGATTTCTTATTAATTGGTCATTGTTGTACTGTCATTGGTTTTTATTCGAAATCTTTCAATTGGCTTTCGCTTAACCAACTATCAAATTTACTCGAGTAATTAAGCCAACGTACAAGCACTTGCTTGCGTCCCTTGAATCGTCTCCTACGCAAGATCTTTTCTATTCTAAAAAGTTGATTCCTCTCAACGTTTGCAGCAAGCAGCTGCGATTCGTAAAAGGCTCCTTTGATTATTTCACCATTAAGATCTGTCAACCCATAGGTTGGCGGTTCAGTCCGATTTACTGAGGTTATTATGAATAACTCTTGACTCCAGGACATCAGGTAGCCTGGAGTATAATCAGCACTCTTTTCCAATGAAATTCGCACAGTTTGATTTTCCTTAAATTTTGGTTTAAATTCCAAAGGTTGTTTGGTGTATGAGTCGTAATAGAGTTTATACCAAACTTTATCTTGATTGGATATGTTCACCTCAGAAGGAGCCATGCCAATTGATTCCATGTATGAGGAGTTGATGGACTTTACAATATCTGGAAGACTGCTTAGATACTTGAAGGTGTTGTTAGCGTACATGTAACGCACCAATCGTTCCTTCAATCGTTTAATTCCGTTTTCCTCAATCGATGCCTTCATGTTCCCAAACGCTAAGATATGATCAATTTTTTCACGTTTCAAGTAATCCTTGACAGATTTATTCACAAATTCTCCACCCTGAAACAGAATCATCATCTAGGTTAAAATATTGTAGAATATTTAATACAATTGCAAGATCAGTTGCTTTGATATAGTAATTCTATTTTCTCTCGCCAGATCTATATGTACACCAACAGTGAACTATCATACCTGATCACTTCTTATCTGTAGCGGAGTAGGCATATCCTTTTTTAACGCTTCAAGTGCCTTGACAACCTCTCCACCTCTTTTCGATGTTAAGGGATGCACCCACATGTAACGGGAAAGCGCGCTAACAATCACTAACAAATAGCTTATCTTTGAATTATACTTTGAATATGTTTTCAAATCAGCTAGATCCATATCGTACATTTGATACATGGATGAAACGATAATTTTGCGACG